CCCAACCTCACCACCCAGCTGTCTTTCCTCCCTCTTCCTTTACCTTGCCCCCTCTGCCATCTTTGCTCCAGTCACCCTGGGCTCCCACACAGGCCTTTGCATTCACTTTCCCTCTGCTTCCAAACACCTCCTTGGCTGCTTTCCATGCCACATTCAGGACCAGGCACAAGGATCCCCAATCAATGCCCTGCCTGATTTCCCTGCTGCCTAAGATAGCACCCCCAACACGTTCACTTTCTCTTTCCTTAGTTTCCTTTATCTTGCTTTATGACACCTGCCATTATGTTTCTTTTTCATTATTGTTTCTTTATTACTATTTATTCATTTATTTTTTACTAACAGGATGTTGAGGGACTTTTTTGGACTCATTTTAAGCTAAGGACCCAAAAGGATGAGACCAGCACAAGAGGTGGCAAATAGNTAATCGGAAGTGGGGCCTTTGGGAGATGATTAGGTCATGAGGGTGGAGCCCTGGTGAATGGGATTAGTGCCCTTATAAAAGAGACCCTAAAGAGCTTCCTTGCTCCTTCTGTCATGTGAGGACACAGTGAGAAGTCACCATGTATGAACCAGGAAACGGGCCCTCATCAGACACAGAATCTGCTGGTGTCTTGATCTCAGACTTGCAGCCTACAGAACTGTGAGAAATAAATTCCTGTTCTTTATAAGCCACCCAATCTATAGTGTTTTGCTATAGCAGCTTGAATGGACTAAGACAGGGGTAAGTGGCTTGTCCCATAGGCTAGTAGTGACAGAACAGGGACAGCAGCCCTTGGTGTGTTTTACTTCAGAGCCCATTCTTTTATCACACTCTGTGAAAAATTAGGCTCTGAAATAAAGTCAGGTTTCAATGAACACAGACATGGCTTTTAGGAAAAGCAGAAGGAAAGGCTAGCAAATGCTTTGCTTCTTGATCGGGCACCCCTAATCAGCCTGTGCAGCTGGGGCTGTGACCCACCTGGATGCATTGACTTTTCCTGGCAGGGACAGCAGAGAGAACACTCACCCAGTCCTCCCATTTTCCTTTAGGGTTCTTCCTGATGATGGGCTGAAGACGGGCCATAAGAATTTGGCAGGCATTCTAAAAATAAATATTTGAAATGATATCAGAAATAAAAGGCACAGGAAATAGCAAAATGTTAACTATTTAAATCAATTCAAATGCAGACAGTCAATTTTGTGAACCTGCTTCCTAGTCATTTAGTCAGGGTTTCTTAAACTTGGAGTCTCTTCAAAGGAAAAAATGTTCTGTGGATTCTTCAGTGCTGACGTGAAATTATTTTTATTACAATGTTTAAGTATATGTTAACATAAAGCTAGATAGTGTCTCAGAGTTATAGCTCTTTTCAAACTAAAACAAAATGACAGAGCATGCACACCAATCTATATACCAATAAAATTCAAAATAACAACATTAATTTAGTTGATTGATGATGTTGTGTTTTGCAGCTAAATTGCTGCTTGGAATGTGGAAAAAGTATTGAACACTGTGGCACAGATACTTTTGAGTTCAAAATGCCTATGGTACACCAGTTGATGGATCAATTGATGGATCAATTGATTTGCCTAATCCACCTACTGTTCTTACTTAAATTGCCACAGGATTTTCATTTGCATGTATACCTCACCATCATCTGCTCTTCATTGGGCAAGAGCACACAATTTACGTACGAAGTCCATCTCTGCTCTTTTCTTGTTGCTTTGAACAAAGCACACTCTTTGTCCCAAGAGATCTCTTTGGTGGGCAAAGAGATCTCATGGCGATGCTCCAATTATAAAATGGTCATTCTGATGATCCAGAGTATACTTATTTTAATTTTTAAAAGATGATTGTTGAAATGAAAATAAAAATTATTGAAGTGAAATCGTGGACTCCTGAAATTATACCTGCTGATCTCGGGGTGTCAGTGGACCCCACTTGGCTTCCACTCTAAATTCAGACACAAACCCAATTACATCTCTGCCCTTCCATATTCATCTCAGCCTCAGAACATGCTACACACCTGCCTCCCTCTTGGTTTCTGTTCTTTCTTGTCTATTATTCCATGGGAAATGGTCTGTGGTTTCTCATGCATTGGGGTGATCCCTGTTTTCATCTATCTTTGCTGGTCCATCCATTCAGTTTTCAATCATTGATCTCATTACAGGAGGATGACTTCCAAAAGAGTGCCACATACAAGGCAAACCTAAGTCCTAGAGTTCCCACGCCTGTGCAGGTATCAGATATTTTACCCTTATCATGCCCTGACCACCATACTCCTGCGCATAACTCTAGACTCAACAGTCTGAC